CTCTATTTCCCCAGACACCCCAACCTTCACTTTATCCTTCTTGTAATACTGACCTGCTTGCAGCTTCCCATGCACACTAGTGATTAAAACATGGGCTCCAGAACCAGGTTCAACTTCTAGTTCCACTGTATTGTGACCTTGGGCAAGTCAGGTAACATCTTTGAACCAAGGTTTTCTCTTCTATAAACTGAAAATAGGACTGTACCTTTGTGGCACACTGCTGGGTGCGTGCTACCCCTTCAGTAGAGCTAGCTATCAATATGCTGCTGCTACCTGTGCTCCTCATGCTGCCTGCTCTGCCAGAAACACGGCGCCCTCCCTTTTGCAAACTTCACCTGACTAATAACTGATATTTCTCTTTTAAGGAAGTTTTTAGTGAAAATTCATTTCCTCCTTCCCTTCACCCCCAACCCCTGCCAGAAATGAGTTAAATGCTTCCCTCTGTCTCTCAGCAGACTGTGAACAACTTAAGGACAAAGAACCACATTTTTTTTCATTTCTGTATTTCCTAGCACAGAATCTGCTTAATGAATTGCGTAACTAAAGTCAAACTGTAAAGTAATAATACCTCAACATTATTATCTTGAAGGATATAATTTCTTACCATTGTGATGCACTAGAGCCCCATGGTCTATCTTCTTTTTCATGTCATAAATATGAATTGTTTCATCTTTGCTCCCAGTGACTACAAAACGACTATTTGCAGCCACCGCTGACAAAGAGGCCGTGTGGGCATGGTGCGTGAAGTCAGCCACAGGAGTCCATTTCTGCTGAAGAGTAAAACATACATACGATCGATCAATGTCACAATCTCATCACAGTTCTCTAGAAACTGGTAAGTGGTTCCACAATCCTTGAAAACTACCAATAGATCTTCCAAATGGAGAAAAAACTATGCAATGATATGTAGATTAAAACAAAGAACCTGATAATTGAATAAGGAAGATAAAATAAGAAGGTAGGACGGTAATGATGGGTTTCATGATTCCAAAACAGTTATGAAGACTGGACTACAGGGACTTTAAGTTCCCAGCCAAATCCTCAACTCCTTATTAAATTTACATATATTTAAGTAAATACTGTTCATTCATTCAAATGTTCAATTTTGATTTGAATTTATTCACTTCAAAACTAAGTGACTACTATGTGCCTGGCATCATTTTAGACAGTTGATATATAGCAGTGAACACAAAAAATAAAAGTCCTTGTTCTAATGGAGCTGCCATTCCTGTGGGAGAAACAAACTAATAAAATGTTGCACAGAGATAACTATAATCACAAGTCTTATAAAGAAAAAATAAAAAGGATTAATAGTATGTTTCCATTAGTACTAAAATAAGCCCTAGAGATTGACCAATGATGTGATTTCAAGAACTCTACACTTACTGACAGGTAACTTTTGGATTGGATAAGTGTGATTGGTTGAGTGCAAATATATGCACACACACTTTTCAAATTAAAGAAGACTTATCAAGAAGTATTACTAAAACAAACCAAGGAAGGAAAAGAAACCCACCAAATTTCTTTCAATATATTTTTACGGTGTTATTGCAAATTAAATCTTAAGTAACTACATCGATAGTCCTTCCATCACTAAAAAACCAGGGAGGCTCTTTTGAGTAAAGACACACATTCCTGGGGAGGCTACTGTGGCCATAAATCAAAGAATAACCTTTGCCAGTCTGTATTACAGAAGAAATGTTATTGTCTGTGTAGGTGTAGAAGGGGTTTTGGGTAATGGTTAAGAGTTTCAAGTGTCAGAGACAGCTGGGGATTTAAGTCCCAGGCTACCTGTGTGACCTTGAGCAAGTCACTCCATCATCTCAATGTCAGGTTCCTCATCTGTAACAGGGGTATAACTGTATCTGCCTCAGAGGACTGCTGTGAGCCTACATGTGTCTGGAACATGGTAAGCAATATTATTACAACGAGAACATAATCAGTAGCACCATCTTTAAACATTCAAAATATGTCACACAAGGCAGATTAATAACCAGAATAGAAAACAAAGTAAACAAAAGTAATTAGTCAAGTCACATACTTCTAATTTTCTGGTTAATTCAAGACTGACACCTTGACTTCTCCATTAAGAAACACTCAATGATTACCAATACATCTCCTAGGGCAGTGGTTGGCAAACTCATTAGTCAACAGAGCCAAATATCAACAGTACAATGATTGACATTTCTTTTGAGAGCCAAATTTTTTAAACTTAAACTATATAGGTAGGTACATTGTTATTAACTTAACTAGGGTACTCCTAAGCTGGCCTTTGCTAAAAACGTCCTCATTTTATAATAATAAAGCCACCAACACAAAATAATTACAATTCTTAAATTGATGACAAAAATACCTGTAGGATTTGCAGCTGGTTGGAAAAATACAGGTAACTTTATGCTTCGAGTAGGTACTTTCGTCACCCGCGCGAGATTTGTAGGAGTGACTAGCACTAACCATTGCACATGAGACTGCTGACTGACTGGCTCACTCAACTTGTGCATGAATCAATCGCACCCGCCTCCCCTGCGCTGCGTCTCCCGAAGCCCGCCCTACTGACCGACACCCCCCACTTCTTCTAACGCCACTTCTTCAAAATAGACTCGCCCAGGCCGAAAACCGACTTCTGCGCATGGGCCACGAAGTTTCAAACGCACTGTAGGTGCGCGCCCACACGTGGCATTTTGTGGAAGAGCCACACCCTAGGGGCCAAAGAGCCGCACGTGGCTCGCGAGCCGCGGTTTGCCGACCACTGTCCTAGGGCAAAGGAAACTAAGGAGAAAATAAACAAATGGGACTACATCAAAATAAAAAGCTTCTGCACAGCAAAAGAAACCATCAACAAAATGAAGAGAGCACACTGCATGGGAGAACATAATTGACAATGATACATCTGATACAGGGTTAATATCCAAAATATATATGGAACTCATACAATTTAACAAAAGGAAGACAAAGAATCCAATTAAAAAATGGGCAAAGGACCTAAATAGACACTTCTCCAAAGTGGACATACAGACAGCCAAGAGACATCAAAAAATGCTCAAAGTTACTGATCATCAGAGAAATGAAAATTAAAATGACAATGAGATATCACCTCACACCTGTCTGAATGGCTACCAACAACAAATCAACAAATGCAAGTGCTGGAGAGGATGTGGAGAAAAGGGAACCCTAGGACACTGCTGGTGGGAATGCAGACGGGAGCAGCCACTGTGGAAAACAGTGTGGAGTTTCCTCAAAAAATTAAATTTGGAACTGCCATTTGACCCAGTGATCCCACTTCTAGAACTATATCCTAAAAAAACCAGAAACACCAATCAGAAAGTATATATGCACCCCTATGTTCATAGCAGCACAATTTACAATAGCTAAGATTTGGAAACAGCGTGCCCATCAGTAGATGAGTGGATAAAAAAGCTGTGGTACATTTACACCGTGGAATACTATGCAGCTTTAAAAAAGAAGGATCTCTTACCCTTTGAGACAGCATGGAGGGACCTAGAGAGCATTATGCTAAGAAAATAAACCAGAGAAAGACAAGTATCACATGATCTCACTCATATATGGAATCTAATGAACCAAATAAACTGATGAAGAAAATAGATTCAGAGGCACAGAAGCATGGAACAGACTGTGGACTCTCAGAGGGAAGGCGGGTACAGGTGGATGGGAAGAGATCAACCAAGAACTTGTATGGACATAGACAATCGGGTGGTGAAGGCCTGGGGTGGGGGGCGGGACAGGCTAGGAGAGGTCAGTGGGGGAAAGAGGAACACAGGTAATACTTTCAACAGTAAAGATTAAAAAAAAACAAACACCACTCAATGAAACAGGTTTTGAAGAGATACTTAGAGGAGTGATTAGGGGGGAAAACAGTGCTGGACTAAAAGATCTTTTTACTCCTGGATATATCCCGATTACCTGTTTGACTACTGGCAATTTACTTAACTTTTTATTCATACATCTAGTAAAATACTTGTATTTTGTTGTCATTTCCCTCCATACATTTGCCTCCCAGTCCTCTCTGCTTCTGTCGGGAAGGTCTCTGGCGCAGGATCCATACCCTTGGCGTCTTTGCACCTTCACTGCAAGCAATGGCCCCACAGTACAGATCCAGTAATAATGAGTCAGTATCATCCTGAGCCGGCTCTAATATTTTGTAAAACTCCAGGACAGAAATTCAGTGCAAGAGGGAACACCTAAACTGGCTGTCAATTTATGAGAGCGACCCTTAAATCCATCATCTGCGACTCATTTGCCCGTTTGCAGAAATGCCTGCTTTCCTTGTGTACCGTGGTAAAAAAAATATCTACCAAAACAGACAGTATCTCGTTTTATGAAATGCCGACTCCATGTTTTAAAAAGCTAACCTATACTGAAGTCTCCTGAGTTTGATTCGTCAATTAATCCCTAAGAAATCAGACGGTGTGTTCACCTCTGGCTTAGTGTTTACCTCGGCCGTGCAGGAACCAAGACCTGACCTTCCCCGCCTCCCGGGGTCCCTCGGCGCCCCGGCTTTTACCTGGTGGTCGCCGCTCGCCTTGGGCTCCGGGTGTACAGAGAATCCAAAAAGGACCTGCTCGTAACAACCTGCGACCAGCTCCATTCAGTAGGACATGTGCCTGTTCTGCGATCGGCGCGCCGCGTCCGGGGCGGAGCCTAAAGCGGATGCAGGAGGACGGGGTCCTTCCGCTGTCGGCGCGCAGATAGACGTCAGGACCGCAGGGCTGCCAAAGCGCCTGCATCCGTGAAAACGGTTTCAGCGCTCGAAGATCACGCGAGACTTACAAGCGAAGAACAAGGAAGGACGCCACCCGAAGAGGTTCTCATTGCTTTGAGGAAAAAATTGGGGTAAGCAGGCATATTCTAGAAAGCCGTGAACTAGGGGAGTGGGCGGGACATCCTTGGCGGAAGCCCCATATTTCCGGGACGTCTAAGGAAGGGGCGGGCCAGTTTCCGACCTGGGCGGGACCCCTGGCAATAAGGTGCTGTAGGTGTGTGATGCTTCTCTGTTGCGCGCTGTGACAGACGGGGTAGTAGGTTTCCTTTTCGTGCAGGAAGCAATGGAATGAGCCCTTTTTTTTTCCCTCACATTTTCTCATAGTAGGGCAAAGAGGAGGTGGGATTTGGGGTTCGCGGTTAACAGCAAGCGGGAGAGTCTGGGCCCAGAAAGTTCGCTCCCTGCCTTCCGGCCAGGTAACCCCGCCCTGCACACCTTTCCTTTCCCGGGACTGCAGTTGTGGCAAATCCTGGGGAGGGAGCAGAACGCTTAGCCTGACGGTGTGAAGACCGACTACTTGGGGAAGAAAGGCGCAGCCATCCCTGGTGAGCGTTCAGAAGTAAATCTCAAAGTTTCACCCCCTCCGCAGGTTAGGTGCAAAGCCAAACATTAATAAAAGGAAGATGACCTTCATTTACATTTGAACTTTTCTTGAGGTTAGGAGTTTCAGGGATGTGTTAGAAATTACATCTTTGCACAAACTTCCAGTAGAGTAAACCTTGGAGTGTAATTCGTCTCACAAACGTCCTAGCACCTGGATTTAACCAGCGGGAGGTAGATGTCGATTCTTCAAACCCCATTTAGTGCTGCTTCTGTAGCACACCCTTCTGTTCCCAAGACCATGTTCTCTGGTGTTCTGAGTTGTCAGTACATACTTGTATTTAACTTGGGTTTGTTTTCATTGATGTTTGGTCTTGTAGAAATGCCTTCACTTGGGCCGCTTTGGTTGTCATTGTAGCGCAAGGAAGGCCTTGTCTTCTGTGCACGTGGGTGACTCCCCATGTAAACAGACCCCAGGTACTGGAAAATGCTGTAGTTAAATTAATTCTCGGTCTCTGGGAAACCAGTGTAGTCGTTCGCTGTTTTGTAATAACTGCTTTGTGCTAGTTACCTTTTTATGTTACAAAACTCCGGAATTTATTTTACTATTTCAGTTATTTCCTATTTACTGTTTCTTGACTATTACCTCCACTAAGGTCAGCGGAGTGTAAGTTGCTTGAATGGGTGTCCCCTGGGCATGGGGCAAAGAATGACTAAGCAGAACCCTGGCCAGGTAGCTCAGTTGGTTAGAGCGTCCTACCTAGAGGCTGAGGTGTGGTTCGATCCCCAGTTAGGGCACATACAAGAATCAACCAAAGAATGATAAATAAGTGGAACAACAAATGAATGTTTCTCACTCCCTTTCTCCATTTAAATAAGTGAAACAACAAATGAATGTTTCTCATTCCCTTCCTCTCTTTAAAAAATCAATAGGTAAAAATTTTAAAAGGGAAAGAATGAGTAAGTAGGACATTTCTTTGAAGTCTCATATTTTATCTTAAAAAAATCTGTCTTTTTGCATTTTACTCCATGACATATCTGTTTATTTTAATGTGAACGTAGTATTCTCTCATCCAAAAAGAAAAAAAAAATGTTTGAATAAAACTGTTTGAAAATTCTGTGCTTTGTATATCCTGTTGCTTCTGGAATGCCCCTGGTGCCCGGCCTCATTACCCCAGAAAAATCTCAACTGCTGTTTAAGAATTAGTACTCATTGCCCTGGCCGGTTGGGCTCAGTGGATAGAGCGAAGCCTGGGGACTGAAGAGTCTCGGGTTTGATTCTGGTCAAGGACCCATGCCCATGTTGCGGGCTCGATCCCCAGTAGGGGGCGTGCAGGATGCAGCCAATTGATGTTTCTTATCATTTGTTTCTATCTCCCTTCCTCTCTGAAATCAATAAAAATATGTTTTAAAAAGAAAAAAAGAAGTAGTATCTATTTAATATTTTTTAAAATTAATTTTAGCCATAGCTGGTGTGACTCAGTTGGTTGAGCGTCAGCCTATGCACCGAAAGGTTGCTGGTTTGACTCCTGGTCGGGGCACATACGTAGATTGTGGCTTTGGTCCCCTGTTGGGGTGTGTACGGGAGTCAACTGATAGATGTTTCTCACTTCAGTGTTTCCCTCTAAAAAATCAATTGAAAATATTTTTTAAAAATTTATTTTAACATCACAATAACAGGATAATTGCTATATTCAGCATGTATTACCAGATTGTCACACTTTTACCTGCTTAAGTATTTGACACACTTTATTTTTTTAGGAACTTGAAGAAAGTCTGTATTTATTTACTTATTTTTTAGTTTATCTTTATTGTTGAAAGTATTATAGATGTCCCCCTTCCCAGGCCTTCACCCCACTGTTGTCTCTGTCCATGGGTTATGCATATATACATATAAGTTCTTTAGTTGATCTCTTCCCTCGCCCTTCCCCCCTCTCCCTCTGAAGATCCTCAGTCTGTTGCATGATTCCATGTCTCTGGATCTATTTTGTTAGTTTATTTTGTTCATTAGATGCCGCATTTGAGTGAGATCACATGGTACTTGTCTTTCTCTGACTGATTTATTTCACTTAGTATAATATTCTCTCGGTCTCTCCTTGCTTTCTCAAAGGGTAAGAGATCCTTCTTTTTTTTTTTTTACAGCTGCATAGTATTTCATCATGTAAATGTACCACAGTTTTTTTTTTTTAATCCATTGCATGCTCTTGCCTCCTTTATCAAATATTAATTGAGCATAATGGCTTGGGCCAATTTCTGGGTTCTCTGTTCTGCTGACACATTTTGGAGAAGAACCTTGTAACTTGAAAAAGTATTTTGCTTCAATCTTTTAGAATATAGTTGGTTCTAGAATGAAAACTGTAGTGTAAGCAACATAAACATAACTCAAAGTGGTTTACTTTTTCTTTTTTTTTACTGTTAGAAATTAGTGGAACCAATTAGAGAGCTGGGATGATCTTAGCATCTGGTTCAGGTGTTAATACTAGGGAGTTCATAGATTGGTTTGGAGGTTTTGAATTCCTGAAATTATATGCAAAATTGTATATGTACATTTTTGGAGGAGAGCATTGGTAAAATTTTGTTACATTTTTTAAAAGATTAGGGCTTATCCCTGACTATTTTGGCTCACTGGATAGAGCGTCGGCCTGCGGACTGAAGGGTCCTGGGTTCGATTCTAGTCGGGGGCATGTACCTTGGTTGCAGGCACATCCCCAGTAGGAGGTGTGCAGGAGGCAGCTGATCAATGTTTCTCTCTCATCGATGCTTCTAGCTCTCTCTCTCTCCCTTCCTCTCTGTAAAAAATCAATAAAATATATAAAAATATTTTTAAAAAAAGATTAGGGCCTAATTGAGGTTTTAATACACTAATGAAGTCTAAGGTCATAAATGCTGAAATAGGTACAGAAAAGGAACTCTTCAAACCACACAGCTAAGTAACGATAGACCTAGTGCTGCTGCTCCTTTTTCTGTTTCCTTGGGCTTGGGCATTCTCTTTAACAGAAGAACAGTGGTTTTTCACTGTCTAAACCAAGGGGTGGGGAACATTTTTTCTGCCAAGGGCCATTTGGATATTTATAACATCATTCGAGGGCCATACAAAGTTATCAACTTAAAATTTGGCCTGCTATATTTGGTCAAACATTTAATTAACTCACCCCTAATGCCTTGGCAGGGCCAGACCAAATGATTTCACGGGCCTTATACAGCCGGCCAGACGTTCCCCACCCCTGGTCTAAAGAAAAACTACAAAATTATATACCTGTTCAACTGCATTCAAACGGAACACACTTCTTGTAAAAACTACAGTTGCTAAGAAACAACCAACTGTTTAGAGTTCATTAACACTAAAACAGGATTTTAGTTTTGCTTTTAAATTGAAAACTTTTTACATTTAAGCAATGCTTTTATTTATTCGTTCTTTCAATAGATATTTATTGAGTACCTTGCTTTGTTTTGCTAAAGAAAAAACAGGGTTTTTTTTGGGGGGGGGGACTAGGGGTAGTGACAAAGTTGATATACTGGGCTAAAAGAAGGATACAGTGGAGAAAAGTCAGCCCTGTTAGAAATATCATGTGTCTAATATTCCTGCCCAATTATCCTTCTTTCTCAGTGTAACAGGTAGCAAGTCTTAAATTTTAGGACTACAGAGGGTGCATGTGCTTGTATTCCCAGAAGACGTTGGTCTTTGCACGTAAAGCTGAGGGAAGCTGAGAGAGTGGGTTGTTCCACCTGGACACTGGCCAATAGTCTACCCTGGTATAAATTTGCTTCACCTGCTTCATGGGACTAATCCAAGTGAAAAATGAGACGTTTGCACTTGAGGCTTTTAGAACAAGCATATCAAACTCTCGGCCAGTAGGCCGCATGCCTAAAAAGTAAAACAATATTTGTGGCCTGGCCGGTGTGGCTCAGTGGTTGAGCGTCAACCTATGAACCAGGAGGTCACTGTTCGATTCCTGGTCAGGGCACATGCCCCGGTTGCGGGCTTGATGTTTTTTTTTCTCTCTCTCCCCCCTTCCTCTCTCTCTGAAATCAATTTATATATAGATAGATAGATAGATAGATAAATATAATTTTTTTCTTTTTAAATTTGTGAAGTCTTCCTTGTCACTGTCATCAACAAAACCCTTGAATGTCTATTTTCATCTCTGGAGCCTTGCTCACGGTGCTCTGTGCTTCACTCCTGCCATCTTCCCAGGTGGTTTCAACATGCTACATTGGCCTCTCCCATCCTCAGCCTCCTTACTACCTTATTATCAATGTTCAACTCCCAAACTCCTTTACAGCTACAGTGGTCTTTCTTACCCTCATAGCCAAAATTCTAATTTTCTTTTTACCAGAAAAAAAAAGTCCCAAAATAGAAGGGAAAAAACCCCGGTATTAAAGTTTTTACAAAGAGAGAATCCGTAACTGATGTTTTATTTGATATCTAAGCTGTTATAGTTATTAAGAATTGTTTTTAACTTCATATAACTTAAAACAATAGTGGCTTAAACAAGACATTTATTCCTTAAAAGAAATCTGGAGGTAGGCCAGTCTAGTGCTGGTGTAGCGGGTCAGTCCATAGTCATTGGGACCTAAACCTGTTCTTTATTTCCAATCCCGTATTTGTGTTTCTGACTTATTCCTTGATATCATCCCATAGGCCAAGATAGGTGCACAGTTATTTTGGCTCCAGCCATCTTATCTGTAATCTCAGCATTAGGCTTGGGGAAAGGGTGGAGGACCAGGAGGCCTTCCAGCTAAGCAAACTCCCTTTGTCTACACAGCTTTCCTCAATCCTCTTATAATAGTTCTTATTTACATCTTATTAGCCAGTCTTTGGCCACCTGGCCACATCTCCCTGCAAGGGGAAAGCTAGGAAATGTAGTCTTTTAGGGAGGCCTGTTGCTGCCCGCCGAAATTAAATCGGGGTTCTGTTATTAAGGAAGAAAAGGAAAGGAATCAATATTGGGTGGCACTTAGCAATGTGTGCCACAGCAGCTAATCAATGACCTCTCCTTTGAAAACATGGGAAATTCACTAGAGTATAAGTTCCACTATATCACCAGTGCCAATCACCCACCTGCCTTGTAGGGACTCAGTAAATAATGGGTGAATGATTTAATTTAATTGTGATTATTATTTTTCTCATTACAGGCACATATAGACAGATACATATAGAATACATCAAGCACTTGGATAGCGGAATAGTTCATTAATAGTGGAATATTAATTAATAAGCTTGTTAGTTATTAACAAGTTTCAGGGAAATTGCCAAACCCTGTTTCTTTTTTAAAAAAAAAAGTAATTATAGTTAATGTTTATTGAGAGCATAGTATGTTTGTTGTTTTTTTTTAATCCTTACCCGATGGCATCAGAGAACATGTTTAGAGAGAGGAAGGAAAAGAGGGAGAGAGAGTGGAGCAGGGGAGGGGCGGGGAGGGAGAAGGAAAGAAAGAAAGAAAGGGAGAAAAACATCTATCAGTTGCCCCAACCTGGGGATCAAACCTGCAACCCACGTATGTGCCCTGACCTGGAATCAAACCAGCAACCTTTCCATGCACAGGACAATGCTCAACCAACTGAGCCACTCCCACCAGGCCCTAACTGTTCCTTCTTAGACTCACAAGTTATCTTCTTAAATTTTGACACTTTGTGTAGCCTTGCTACTTAAAGTACCTGGGAGCTGGCTAGAAAGGGCAGAATCTGAGGCTCCACTCCAAATCTATTGAATCAGAACCTATATTTTAAACAACATGCCCAGGTAGTGCAAATGTACATTAAAATTTGGGGAGCTTTTTTTGTGCTTTAAAAAAATACACTGAACCACAGATTTCCCTGCACTCGAATTTTTTTTTTCTGCACTCGAATTTTTTTTTTCTGCACTCGAATTAAGGTAGGGGTGTGTGTGTGTGTGTGTGTGTGTGTGTGTGTGTGTGTGTGTGTGTATGTGATGTACCAGTGCTTCCACCAGCTGGTTGGGATGATTTCAACCTGCAGGAAATATGTCCACTAGGTGCTGATAACTGAGAAGAGAACATCAAATTGTATTTGTCTTAAAAGTTTTAATTACTAAAAGTGACCCTTACATAGGAGGTGGGGTGGAGACTAGTGTGTCCTGTGCAGTTGCCCAACACATATTCCCTCTCCGTCCCCCTGGGCAGCTTCCCCAGGCCTGACAGTTGGGAGAGGGGCGGAGGCTCAAAGCCAGCTGAGTAGTTGCAGTGCCCTCAGGTGACTCCCGCGCCTTAAACCCCACTGTCTTGAAAATCAAGCAGTTAATTGCCTAGCAGGGATTAAGGCAGTTATGAGAGTTGTTTGTCTGATTGAGAGGTTTTAGCTCCGGAGCTGGAATTTTTGACTCAGAAGTAAAAACTCTGGATTCTCTGTCTCTTTTTATCAAGTTTCTGGATCAATGGCTGGATCGAAGAGTTTTGCGGGTTTTGACAGAGCTCAACAGAATAATTATTACTGGTACTGGCAAAGGTGAGGTGCTTTTTCCTGCTCTGAGTGAAAATGAAGGTTGCTTAGGGTTCTATTTCTTAGATACTTTGGGGGCAATTTACAAACGATTGCTTTGAAAATGGGTGTTCTTAAACAGTTAAAGCAGAAGTCATACTTACTTGTAACTTTTGGGAAAGGAGAAAGCTCTGTGGTTTTGGACGACTCTGCCTTGGTTGCTGATGCCGTTCCTGTTGTCTTCCCTCTACTATTAGAGTGAACCCTAAATTCCAGTTCTACCAGAGGGACCCCTTTGGCAGCGGGTATGAGCAACAGCACAGCTGTTGTCTTCTTCCTGGCTATTGCTGTGGTCCTGCAGTGGATGGAAATGAGCACACCCTGTCTGCGCATGGGACCTCTGGACACCCAGCTGGAACTCCCATTACACCCGAGGTATCACTCTCTCAGTGAATCGTGTGTCGGTGGGTGTGCCCAGCGTGAAACATCTTTTTCCTATCTCACACCTCCACATCCTGCCATTCAGTTTCCCTCCGCGGTGGCTTTTGCTCCCTATTGTAATACCAGAGAGTAACAGCTGATGACCCCAGAAATTTTGACTTACAAACAATTTAAGTCCTCACTCTCTTCCAAAAACAAAATAATGGGCTGATGCGTATTTCTTGTTACTAAATTTTAGATTATCATCTTTCAATAGATTTTACTCTTAAACACTTAAAATAGCACAGGAGGTAGGTTTGTGGGGTTTTTTGCATTGTTTTGATACGGCAGTGAACATTAACACACTTTTAAAAAGATACTTTAATATTTTGATTACTCAAGAACTCAAGTAACCTATTTCTGAAAGCCTCCCCCACTCCCACTTCCCCTCCCCCTCCCCACTTCAAGACAACGCTGTTGAAGTTGATCTTGTCCTCTAGATTTTCCCCCTGTACTCTTGCTAACTCAGTGTGATGGGGGTTTGTTTCTGTTTGGGGAGTTGGGAGCGCCTTGGGCAGGAATGGACTGTGTGGTATATATATACTTGTTTGCTTCTTGCTTGCTTCTGCTTATAGATTGCATCTGGAGAGCTTTCTTTAAAGCTGCCCATTTGAATGTGTTTTGAGTTTAGCTCATCCCTATTGACTAACATTTTAAATGTTGTCAGTCCCTTAACAAACTTTTACTTATTTATCTTCAGGCATTTGAGTGTTGTTATTTTTTGGCTAAGAACAAATTCTGGAAGTGGAAGATCTGGATTAAAGGATATATCATTTAAAATTTTAAACAGCAACTTACCAAAAACCTGCCTGAGTTTGCGCTTTCCACTATTGTTTGTAGGTGTGCTTGCTTCTGTTTTTTGTTGTTGTTGTTTGTTTTTCTGTGTGATTAGCCAATTGGACAAGCGAGGAAGGCATTTGTCTATTATTGAGTGCAAATATTTTTTCAGGTGTTTATTGGTATCTGTTTTCTGATTTAGTTGACTTTTTTTGCCTACCTTTCTTCTGTGTGTTGTGCCCCTTTTTCTTGACTGTGGTATTTACATACTAGGGAAATTAGCCCTTTGCAGTCAAAGTGTCACAGGCTTTTCTCCCCAGTTTATTTCCTGATGTGCACAGTGTCCCTTTGTGTGATGGCCTTGGCCTTAACACCAGAGTTGAACAGCTAAGCCCTGTTTTTAAAACTTGTATTTGGTTGCTAATTTTTTTGCCCAAATTTTCACTCTCAGTTTTACAAGTCTGTTTTAGGTGTGCCTCTTAGAGAAAATATCTTGTTAGACTTCTCACTATTTTTTTTTCTTTTAAACCCAACCTGGGCTGTACCCTTTTAACAGATGCTTGATCCTATATAATAAAAGGGTAATATGCAAATCGACCCAAAGGCTGTTCTACCAGTTGCTATGATGCGCACTGACCACCAGGGGGCAGACGCTCAACGCAGGAGCTGCCCCTGGTGGTCAGTGTGCTCCCACAGGGGAAGCGCCACTCAGCCAGAAGCCATGAGCCATGCTCATGGCTGGTGAGCACAGCAGAGGTGGTGGGAGCCTCTCCTGCCTCCATGGCAGCACTAAGGACCCCTTGGGGGATGTCTGACTGCCGGCAGGCGGACATCCCCCAGGGGTCCTGGACTGCAAGAAGGCGCAGGCCAGGCTGAGCCCCACCCCCCTCCCCAGTACACGAATGTCGTGCATTGGGCCTCTAGTATTATATATATTTTTTAAATCTTGCTACATTGCCTGAGGTTTTAGCACATTTTTTTTCTTTTACCCTCCTGTTTTTCTTTCTTTTTTTTTTTTGAGAGATAGATGGTCTGACTTCTAGTGGCTACCTTTAGATCTTTAAATAGAGAAGTATTGGTTTGAGTATATTACCAACTCCAGAAATGAAACTATTTCTTTATCTCTCCACTCATGAATAAATAAGAAATTAACACTTTTTTTCTCTCCTTGCCACCCCTTCCCTTCTTTCTTCTTCCCATTTGTGTTGACACATTTTGATTTTTTAATATTTCATTCTCTAGTCAAATTTTTATTATAACATGCAGTTTTCCTTCAAGAAACATATATATATATATATATTATATTTTTTTTTTTTTTTTCTCTTTAATGGCTTTGGTTACCATACTTGTGCCACCTGCCTGCTCTCTTGGTGGGAGTTCCCGGTTAGGAAACTTGGTGGGAGTTTTGGTCAGCAAAAGTCAAGACCATAAGGCTCTCCACTGAGTCTCACTCACACATCTTCACTTGAGTCTTCCCTAATAAGGTGCGCCCTCTATGAGATGTCATAGTTTTTTCGCCCACTTCCCCCACTGTAGCACACCCGAAGCCCTAGCCCTTGCCTCCCCAAGTTAAGGATTAGCCTCTCCATTTTGGCATTGTGTCCTGCTTAAGATTACAGGAAGTGGATGTCTTCAAAATGATTCTCAGGTCTTTGGGTGTCCGTCAGCACAACTTGCCCAAGCTACCTCCAACAGAGGAAAACCATTTATAGATGTGCCCTTCTTTAAGGACAACCAGCAGCATACACTCTCCAGGTGAACCTCATTCTCTAATGCTCTGTCTTCAGACAGCTCCTGCTCCCTACAGCCTCTTAATTTAGGATCCACATTTACCAGAGTACACACTGAAAAGGAGGAAATGTGAGGTTACTTGGACATTGTATTAAAAGAAAGGTCTCATCGTTTGAGCCATGGCTCAATGGTTAGAATGTCGGCCCGCAGACCGAAGGGTCAAGGGCACATACCTCGGTTGCAGGTTCCCCAGCCCTAGTAGGGGTATGTGCAGGAGGCAACCAATCAATGTGTCTCTTTCATGTCAATGTTTCTCTCCCCCCTCACCCCACCCTTCCACTCTCTCTAGAAATCAATGGAAAAAATATCTTCAGGTGAGGATTAAAACACACACACACACACACACACACACACAAAGGAAGGAAGGAAGGAAGGAAGGGAGGGAGGGAGGAGGAAAGAATTCATTTAAGCACAGATTAAATGACTAAATGGCTTCTTAGTCATTTCTAAATGGAAAAAAAAATACATCAGTGGTGTGATTAAATTTATGGTAACCATATAATTTATTTTGCAAATCAGGACCTATTTCAGAGCAAAAGGGAGGCATACTTTCAGATAGATTGAAGAGAGGAAGTAGTGGATCTTTGGCTTTCAATGCAATATCATCCTTATTAGCAGGGAAGGCTTAATTAAAGTCATTAGTGCCTCCAGCTAACTCAGCCCTTCCTGGATGGGCTGATTGCTTGGAACAGCTGTACATCCTTAACAAAAACAGGTTTCCAACAGGTGCCTATAAAGAGGAGTCATAGGAACTTATGCCCCAGTAGAGCAAACTCTCTGGGTTAACCAGCCAAGATCTATTTGGGGAATACTTCTGGAATTTAGTTCTCTCAGTATGTAAGGCGATGGTTGATTGGTTTCTTTTTCTGCACCCTCTGCATTTCCTTAAGCACCTACTATCCCCATCCTCGGCTGAGCCATGGAGTTGGTGGTGCGATTAGAAGGCTGTGGTGGGGGGATGTACATGTGGAGACTTTGCAGATTGTCATCTGGAAAGAAGGGCTGAGCTCCAGGTAGAGAGTTGGGCTTCTAGTACAGGGACTGTGGCGTCTGGATGCCAACATTCCTGGTGTCGGACGCCTATCGCAGGCTCTAGGATGCCCATTCTCAGAAGCTTCAGAGAGGCCAGAGGCCTTTGTTGGGCTTGCTCCTCCTTTGTGGGTTTTCTTCTGTTGATATAGTTCACTCATTTCATAATTGTAATATATCATTTAAAGATTCTCCTAATCGAAGTTCAAAAATAAATTTAATCTAAAGAGAGTTTAGATATTATTTGTGAGAGCTAGATTTTTCTAAGAAAGCCTGTGTGATAGTCAACCTTTAAGTGAAATTATTTTTTTCTTAAAATAAAATACTGATTTTCATTGTAGGAAACCACAGCTCTGGCGGGAAACCAAGATGAAAACCTACTAGAAGGTAACATAAACCTCGTGTTGCAGTATTTAAAAACAAAACTAACAATGGCTAGAAACTGAAAGGTCCTACTGGAAAATACCAGCGTAGGTTGTCTAAGCCATTTTCTTAACAATTCATCTACTCTTTGGAAATTGCCTCTGTGGGAACAGCTTCAGTGAAACCTCCTCTCTGGGTCTTTCTGAAGGACTGGGAAATGGGGGCATTTCCACAAAATAATTCGATTAAGTTGATTTTAAGATCTGTTTCCTCCATAAGTTTAGACTTTGGGATTAATTATGCTTTAATTTAGATTTTTAAGGAGAAAAAGCATGAGGCACTTGCTGTGGCCTTGGCTTCCTGGCTCCCCTTAGGGCAGCGGTTCTCAACCTGTGGGTCGCGACCCCTTTGGCGGTCGAATGACCCTTTCACAGGGGTCGCCTAAGACCATCCTGCATATCAGATATTTACATTACAATTCATAACAGTAGCAACATTATAGTTATGAAGTAGCAACGAAAATAATTTTATGGTTGGGTCACAACATGAGGAACTGTATTGAAAGGGCCAGAAGGTTGAGAACCACTGCCTTAGGGTTATTGGTTCCTGGAGGACCCAGCAGGCCCCCTCTGTAGAGTCAGGTGTTTCTTCATGTAGTTCTTGATCTGTTTTGAAAAGACCAAAGTGTATCTGCCCAGAGAAGAACCCTGTTTCTGAATGTGTCTTATTTGAGGGAAAAAAGAAAACATTTGGCTTCTTTTATTTAAGTTATGGGAAAGAGGAATAGAAACAAAATGCAGAGAACACTTTTGCCTGTTTCCTTATCAAATGTCTGTCTTATCACGTGTCCATCTGGTCTCTTCCCCTACCCTCACCTCATCCCTACAACCCACTGCCTTTGTGATTTTATCAAATCTGGGAGCATCCATCTTTGTAGTCCTAGGAACCAATACAAAGTCTGCATGTTAGTTGGTGTTCAATGTTTACTAGTAAATGCAATGAAATTGATGTTTAAAAGAAAACTAGGGGCAGTTCTAGTTGGAAGTACTTAATTGGAATATGAATAACAGGTGCTCATTATAGCTGGGGGCGGGGGATTTCATTCTGACTAAAGTGTGTATATTCTCCCTGCTTTTATCAGTTCTTCAGAAACAGTCTATAAAAAGAACAGAGAAAGACATACAATAAGATTGTGCTTTCTGGGGCCAGACTGCCAGAGTTCAGATCTCTCTTACTGGCTCTGTAATTCCACATTAATTCATCTCCAGTGCATTGGTGTTCCCACCTGTAAAATGGGATTTAAAACCTACCTCCTATGAAATGAGGGCAGTAGCTCTAAAGTGTTTTTAAGTGTTTTAACAGGTTTTGGCACATAACAACCACATGAGGGTTAGCTGTTCACAGATCCGGAGCAGCTCTGTCCAGTAGAAATGTATGGGAAACACAAATCCACCCACATAGGTAGTTCTACATTTTCTAGTAGCCAAATTCAAGAAACAAAAAGAGATAGGGAAAATTAATTTAAATATTTTAACCTTAATCTAATATAGTCAGAATATTATTTCAACGTGTCATCAATATAAACATTGAATGAGACTTAAAAAATTTTAATACCAAGTTTTCACAATGCAATGTATGTTTACATCACATTTCACCTAAGATTAGCCACATTTCAAGTGCTTGATAGCCACATGTGGCTAGTGGCTGCAGCATAAGTCTAGAAGGCCCACAGGTTTAGGAAAGATGTAATGAGTTTGACTTTTATGGGCTTCTATTGCCCCTTTGGCCAACATCACTGGAAGGGCCTATCAGTGGTCGGCAAACTGCGGCTCGCGAGCCACATGCAGCTCTTTGGCCCCTTGAGTGTGGCTCTTCCACAAAATACCGACTTCTGCGCATGGGCCACGAAGTTTTCAATCGCACTGTACGTACGAGTCCGCACATGGTATTTTGTGGAAGAGCCACACTCCGGGCCAAAGAGCTGCATGTGGCTCGCGAGGTGCAGTTTGCCGACCACTGGCCTAGATCATTAATCTAGGTTCCTAGCTGACGTTTGTTTTCTAGGCCACAGTTACAAGAGAGAGAGTGCTCATAAGCATGCGCTCCCCTGACCAGGAACATGCAGAGTCAGGAGCCTTTTAGCAAACAACTGCCCAAGACAAAGAGGTAAAGGACCTAGCACGTGACTTTAGGAAAAAAAAATTTCAGAACATTCAGGGAAAAATAGAAACATCTAGCCCTCGCCGGTTTGGCTCAGTGGATAGAGCTACAGCCTGCGGACTGAAGGGTCCCAGGTTTAGTTCCGGTCAAGGGCACATGCCCAGGTTGCGGGCTTGATCCCCAGTAGGGGGCTTGCAGAAGGCTGCTGATCAATGATTCACTCTCATCATTGATGTTTCTATCTCTCTCTCCCTCTCCCTTCCTCTCTGAAATCAATGAAAAAAAAACTATATATATAAAAAAATAGAAACATCTAATTTTATGACTAGAAGCTCTCAAAGGAAAGATGGTTCCGAGGGATAAAAACTCTAAAGAACAAGTGCCGGGGTCTTTCTCAGCATCTAGAAGGGTTCAGGAATCTGGAGAAGGGGCTGCACATAAATTAATAAAGAGACTAGAAATATAAATTTGGAATACATGGGGGGGCCAGAGGAGACTTAGCTATAGTAACCAAGTTCTCTCTATCTCCGGACCCAGGGCTTTTTATTCCCACATTTTGGCCTATAGCAAAGCAGATATACATATCGAAAGGTAAGCTTGGTAAACAGTAGGCATTGTCAGGTTGGGGGAACTGCCCTCAGCTGTCTGGCAGCAGGCAGCCATATGTATCTTCAGGTTTGGGGAAATGCCTCCAGCTGTTCAGCTGTTTGGCCAGCAGCAGGTAATAACATGTAGATCTTCAGGTTTGGGGAAATACTTTCAGCTATTCCAGCAGGCAATAATATGTATCTTCATCCCTGCTGAAGTCTCAAGGTTCCATCAACCTTTTGATGAAACTTCTTGCATTTATGACATGCTGGAATTAGCCTCCAGCAAACAAGAATCTGACAACACAGTCACAAATAACTCCAGTGCAGAAAAATAAGAAGTAGCTCATGAAACTTATATGATGGGCGGGGGCTATTGGATGATCTTGGTTCTAAAATGATAAATACAGAAGGACATCGCATTAATGAGTTCAGGCTGCTATAACAAAATATTGCAGACCGGGTAGCTTTAACAGCAAATTTATTTCTGGTGGTTCTGGACAGTGGAAAGTCCAAGATTAGGTGCCACTGATTCGATTTCTGGTGAGGCTCTCTTCCTGGCTGTAGATGGCCACCCTCTCATATCCTCATATGGTAGGGAAGAGAGATCTAGAGCTCTGCTTTCCTTTTTTTAAGGCACTAAGTCCATGGATCTAGGGCCCTATCCTTACAATCTCATCTCACCCTAATTATCTCCCAAAGACCCCATCTCCAAATAGCATCAAATTAGAAGTTAGAGCTTCAACATGTGAATTTGGGGGGTGGGGAGGCACAAACTGTCTGTAACAGGCATATCCTCTATAATAAAAGGCAAATATGCAAATCGACTAAACAGTGGAACTACTGGTCGCTATGATGCACACTGACCACCAGGAGGCAGATGCTCAACGCAGGAGCTGCCTCCTGATGGTCAGTGGGCTCTCACAGGGTAAGCGCTGCTCAGCCAGAAGCCGGGCTCACGGCTAGTGAGTGCAGCAGTGGTGGCGGGAGCCTCTCCTGCCTCCATGGCAGCGCTAAGGATGTCCGACTGACGGCTTAGGCCCGCTTCCTGCTGGGAGCAGGCCTAATCCATCAGTCAGACATAACCTGAGGGCTCCCGGACTTCGAGAGGGCGCAGGCACCGGGACTCTAGTAAATAAATATGAGTAAATAGCATGAACACATGTGAGTATTAGGAAGCACATTATGGCCCTAAATGAACTAAGGCTTGCAAAAGTTATAAAGGAAAACAGAAAAGGCTTCTACAGTTACATTCAATACAAGGAGAAAAAAATGGACTATATTTAAAAAGTCAGTGATCTTGGAAACCTGGCAACTTGAACTGAACACCTAGGTCTGATGTTTTCATGATAACATAATACCACATCTCATCACAGGGTTTCAGGTTTCAGAGAAGGAAGGTCAGGCTCCTCTCTTTTTCTAAATTAGTTGTTATATATATATAATTTATGCACATACCAGTCTGTTAACTAAGCAGGTAAAGCAGCATGGTTATTTTTTCAAAGTCCCGACTGGGACTTGGTCCTGGCTCACTGTGTGGCACCATATCCACCCAAGTGCTCCTGCCAGAAACTCAGGTGTCAACCTCAACCCTCCCTTTCTCCTTTACCCCAAATTGACTCCACCTCCAAATGTTGCCTACTTATCTCCAAAACCTCTCTTAATTCTGTCCATTTCCTCATTTTCATTCACCATCCTGATGCTCCTTGAGTCTGGTTGCATTACTCCTTTTTTGGCTTCAATTTCTATTTTTAAGCCTTATGGAAAGGAACACACATTTAAACAATTTTAACATTAATTGCCTTTAATATTTCCTGCTAATGTTTTTTAAAAATTGTAAACCATTTCTGATATATGTCTTGTCAAACTCTCTTTTTTTTCATATGCGTTACTGGCTTCCGAAGATCCCAATCTTCATTTGAATATTGAGGAATTAAACAAAGAATTTATGGTGAAAAGTGAAGAACTTTACGATTCTCTCATGAATTGCCGCTGGCAGCCTCTGGATACAGTTTACTCTAAAATCCCAGATGAGACCCTACAGAAACCAGATGTTCATTAAGCTACCCAATTATTATATTAACTATATCCTGTTCTGTTTTTGTTTTTCAAAAATTAAATTCTCCCAGAAATATACTGGGTTCTGTATGTAAATACAAATTCCAAGGACTCAAATATGATTGAAATGATAAAACATAATGTAAATAAACTTTACCACCACATCCAATTCTGGAATTGTGTTATATTAGACTAGTGGCCGGGTGCACAGATTCGTGCTCATTGAAAGGAAATTAATTAGAAGAAATATTTTAATACTTCTATTCGCCCTTTCTCTAATAGAAGCGTCAGAGATGAAAGAAAATTAGTAAAATGTACATGACAATAATATACAAATTGATTAATAAATAACATGATGTAACAACAACATATGAAAACAAAAACAACAAAAAGATGATATAAAACAAAAACATAAAAACAACATTGATAAAAACAATGACTGATAAATTGATTAAACTTATTCTAATATCTCCCT